GAAAAAGCCAGAGAAAGCATAGAAGAGAGGCTAGAGAAAATATGTAAGGTCGCTTTCAAAGCCACATTGTAATTGATAATCATAAAAATGGATAATTACCTTTGAAAAGCCAACTGAAAAAGGAACTAAGATGAAGAAGAGTCAGACGAGCTAGAGAATAATCAATAAATCATCCATTTGCAGTAATAAATTGCAAGGGTGGATGGCTAACAAGAGCAAGCAAAAAATAAGTTAAATTGCTAGAAAACCTGCAAGTTCTGTAAGAGATTGGATAAAAGCCACATGTGATGATGAAGATATAGAAAATAATAGTGGAAGGTGGTCACCCAAGGATGACATAACAAGCAAGAGACCACAGGATTACTAAGAGGCGAAGAAGCAAAAATCATGATTGAGTTGGCCAAAAACGAGCAATGACAATAATCTGGCAAGGGATGCCGTGAATTGAATAGAGTACTTTGAAAAGAAGTTGAAGAGGAAGATAGCCATACAGACTCAAAGAGAATACTAACAAAGCCATAAACTCTGAAACTGGTGATCAGAAAAATGAAACTTTGTTGTAGCGAGGTGTCTCAAATGTATTGATAAGAGGACTCCTAAATCTACAGGACAAATTCACATAAATACCAGGAGATGGAAAGACCACTATGTTGGTAGGATGGTAAGAAGAAAGCAGAGGTTCCAAGAGTGATTACTTCCTTGTTATTTGGTTTAAGAAACAATAACAAAGTTGTCAAAAGAGATCAAAACAAGATGTTCATAATTGTAACAAAAAATTGTGGCAGTTCCCTTGAACTGTTAACAACTAAAAAACATTCATGTGAAAGATTGTTCCACAGAATACCAAACACTAAAAACGGTGACGGTATACCACCCGGATAGAAAAGCACCCATCTACAGCTGTATGTCTGGGTGGGGTTGCGGAATATATATGCTTAGACTCAGGTGGAAACATCTGAATCACTACGACAGTGAGAGGTAAAGAGATGAAGATAGAGAAATGAGAGAAGACAGTGGACCAAAGGATATATTTCATTGATCTACCAGAATTCAGATGAATAAGTGACACAATATAGACGAGAGACCCCAAACGAGACTGAACCTCACTTCTGGGAAGAAAAGGATACATGAGAGCCTTGAAAACCACGAGTTCCGTAAAGGAGAAGGTTAGCTTGAACCCACTTTACAAAAGAGGTAATATAGACTCCCAAATGAATCTGTCTGGTTTTACATATGGATGGGCTAGATTATTTACAGTAGGTGTCTGTGATTTGTTGACAACAAATTTCAATTATAACAAACAGCATACACTCCATTTATTTTAAAATATTATATTAAATATATCAAATATATATACAAATGTTCATTACACTGTTGGTTATCACAGCTGTATTCACAGCTTTACATAATTGTTTCTTTTTCGTCAAATTCCACACAGAGTGATTCAGTTACTTTAGAACACAATTTGACAAGACAAATTATTCTTCTCCACTCTGTTATTATAATACCATCTACGATAAATTCACTTTAAAAATTGCCACTATGCGTTCTTTATGGATAAATTCACAATCACTCAGTCTAGATCTACCTATGTATCTAACTGACTACCTAACTAACTAGCTCTGTATCTAGCTCAAACTACATTTTGAACACATATTTATAGCCTAACAGAGGTCTAGAATGTTCTACACACTACGAGATATTATGATGCAATAATATTCAATCAAACCAACGAGAAAAACTTAGAAGATTCTAGTAACATGATGCAATAATACAAGTGCCAATTCATAACAACTGAACTATACAATGTATGCTTCATACACAGTTATGTAAACAAAACTGTAATAAACTGTCACTTCTAAACATAACTAAATTTAACACTTGCATCAAACTTAAATTAAAACAGTCGTGTATATCTAACGATAAGTTCCTCTTCAAGAAAAAAATATTTACAATATTTTTATACTATATACAAAGACTGTTTTCAGTTCATGCACAAAGTGTACTCATATAGTCTGCACTAACATTTGTAGTCCCCTTGATAGCTTCAATGTAGAACAGGTAGTTCTGGAGGTACAATACCCACGTCATGATCCTTGCACTGTCGATTTTGCGCCTTGCGATTTTGTGACAAGTATAACATCTCTTCTCCCTTTTTTCTCTTAACCTCTTGTCGCTTTTGGTGGTATCCTGTTCTGTTAGCCACCCTGGTTTCAAGCAAACAGTAGGCATCGTAAGTAAAGTGTGTGAATCACTGCGATTTATAGCGTGTGTTATG